TACATGAAATGGATACTACTTTCTGATGTACATAAACCCTGAAACTGAAAGAAAGGAATGAATGAAAGGTCAGTTTAATTAATGTTCACAATGAAGGTGGGTAAAGGATTCTAACAGTAGTAGTGTTTGAGAATCAGTAACTTACAACATGTCACGTGCAGTTGCTATCTTATCACTTACCATAAATACTGTTTATAGTAGTAATATAAAGGAGCTCATTTGGGGGAAGTCTAATCAGGATAAAGAGCTAGCAATCAAATTAATCTTCTTAACTAAAAGGCTAGTCAATGACAATTATCACTAAAACTATGCTATGCAGATACTTCATCTTTTATTACTTAGTAATAAGAAGGAAGAGGAATCTTGAATTACTTGGTTAGGTAGAAAGATTTAGATGGAATATTTGGCAAATATATAAATATCTTTTGGAGAAGGAGAGAGTGTTTCAGTTCCTATTTGAAATGGGATGTTTTAAATAGCAATTCTGTAAATCCCCAGGTAATCAACTGCAAAAGAATTAAACCCACAAATTCGGTAAAGTATAACTTATCATTCCTTTTTACAATTATTTTTTCAGAGTAGATATTTATTGGAGTAATTCTGAGCCTCAACTCTTTTTCTCTTTAGTCTTCCCTACCTAGCATCACTAAAATCATGCAGAAGAGTACCTGCATAGCAAAAGGCTATCTATTTCACAGGTTCTCTATATCAAAAAGTCGTCTTCTATTTGTTCTTGGTAATAAGAGGTCTTTTACCTACTTACTTTAGTTTGCACAGGTGCTGGTACGTTCTTGCTTTTGTTCATGTGTCCATTCCTAGAGCAGGACAGCTGCAAAGGGCAGGTACTTATCCTCCACCTCTGGAACTGATATTCAGTTGTTTACACTGCCTGCACTTGATGCATCCTGCTTTTCAAATGTTTTGCACAGCTAGATCCTACTTATAAGTCAGAATTACACTTTGCAGAGTTACTTTCCACTTCCAAAAGGACCATTACTGACTTCAGAATGTAGAGACAGAAGGAATGTTTGTCATGCCCGCGTTTTTGATGTTTCTGCTCCTACTCACAGTGGATTTTATCCATACTACTTTCAGGCCAAAACAAATTGTCTATATTCTTTAAAGGAGAAGTTTGAGGCAAAGAGAAATAAAAGGAAAAAATACTTTGCTTTAACGAGTATGAAAAAATTAAGGCAATTTGCAATGAGAAGATTGAAGGACTTAACTTTGAAGCCCAACTCAAAAACTGTCATTCAACTCTTGCAATTCCATCAACAAAAAGCAGGAATTGTGAGTATTCAGCTGTGGTTAAGTCTCAAAAAAGTGAGTCGAATTTATTCTGCTAAGTTATTAGGCTTTGGATCATGCTGTATAGATTTAGCAATAGTTTATGCATAACTGCTTTACAGAACAGATGGCCTGGGGAAAGAGATAATTAATATTTTTAGATGAAACCTATTTTATGCTATTCAAAAAGTGTCTATTGATCTACCTACCAGGAACTTACCAAGCATTCTTTCTCTGTAAGTAACTCCATTAAAATATCCAGTAGAAAATTGCAACAAAAATGTTTTTGAGAGGAAGACATCACAGAAAATAAAACGTGTTTGCAAACTGTAGCATCTTAGAAGTGAGGACGCTTTTAACTCACTTACATGTTAGCTTCAACCATACTGTGTTTGGAACCGTAGAATATAGTTTCTGCATACAGAGATGTGTGAACTGTGGGTTCAGACTGGAGGATGGAAGACTGCTAGCCAGGATAAATGAGAAGTAGTGATCAATAATGGTAGGAAATAAAACATTAAACATGGTAAAGCATCACCTGCTATGTCATAGCTGTGTTATCAGAAAATATTTTGCTGTAAGTCTTTAATAAAGTGAGGACACAGGTCAGAAAAGGGTTGTACCTTATGTTACATACTGTTAGCAATATCCCTGTGCATACAGTATAGATCCAGAAAAGATCGCTATTATTAAGCACTTATAAAACTGTGGATTTCCAAAGAGGGTAAAAAACATAACCAAAATATTAATTTCCTTCTAAAATTTCCTACTAAATTTCCTGCTAACATCAGTGGATTTGGAAAACGTTTTGTCAAATATTCAGATAAATATAACATTTTGAGGAGTGGCTATTTAAATGTGGTCTGAGAAATGATCTTTCAAACTTATCTAAGGGCTTTCCACAGTTTGATTACTTTCTAGCAAAACAGCCAAAATCTGGAATCTGACAGTCATAATCTTAGAAATATTATTACTCCCCAAGTATTGGCATTGGCTTCTGTGGGACTTCTGGTAGAAGAGAAAGATATGACAAAGCAAGGCAAATTTGAGATCCAAGCAATAAACACTGGTAATTAAAACACTTATTTGGAAATTTACCTACCACATACAAAGCTGTAATACAGAGAAAAGTTAGCCTTGAGATTTAGCATTTTCAGTGCTGTCTCAGATTTACAGACAACAAAGATGTTTTTGTTTTTCATTTGGGAAGTATTTGTTTATGAAATGGCAAAATAATATGACTACACATCTCAGGAGGAGAAAAGATAAGGGTAATACATCTCTTACATGTTGGCTTGACTCAGGGACGTCTGTGACTTTGTCAACAGATGAGCCTTCAAAACAAAATCTCTTGCAACAGTTTTGCAGCACCCTGTTCTCGTGTTCCTTGATGACAGCATATGCATGTGACTGAATATGAAACCTACTCTGCATTTCTTCATTTAAAAAGATGAAAAGCCATTTAGAAAATATAAACATATCACTGTAAATTTCCGTACTTAAATACTACCCAGTAACTCTGGTTCTACACATGTACATTTCTGTATATGCATAATGTGAAGCATATGAATAATCATATTTAACTCAATGATATGTTTATGAGATTAAGACCTCTTCAGAACTGAGAATTCAAAGTAATGTGATAATTCTTCCTTCTTAAATAGTCTGCAAATTTTTTACACAATCCTGAGTTGTCATTTTTAGAAAAAAATCATGACACAATGGAGAGGATTCAGAATTCAAGTTTTTCACTTCACTAGGGCAACCTGAGCGTTTCTGAGCCTTGGAACACTTCCTCTTTCTGCTGCAGAAACTGCCATCTTTCGGCTGTGAGATTTGGAGCTGTGAAAATTGTGGAGGCAAGGAAACATATTAATTCTTAGTATATAGAAAAAAGCTTTATATCAAAATTCTGAGATGAATTTATTGATTTCTGATGCCCTTAGAGAGTTATTTGCAAATTAATTGTAATATGCAAACATATTGCTTGTACATGACAGTGATTTATGGTAATTGGAATACTGATGGGGAGAAAAAATCTTTTAGACTATTTAATGAGCACCTGTGAACTTATGGAATGCATGCATAAGCATCCCAAATGTTTGCCTGAGAGATTTTTGTTTCTACAGCTGTGGGATTTGGGCATCATTATTTAGAGGTAAATTGAGAACCTCTTACAAATGGGAAGCAGGTACTTGGTACAAGTTCTTGGGACAACTGATGTAAATAATTGCTCAACAGTGTAAATAAGGAGCTCACAATCTGGTTGTATTTTATTATTGTTCAATACATGTTATAATTTACTGGTCTTGTTTCAAATGGTGAAATCAAAAGTAAAATGAGTTTCTTTTTAGAATAAATACAATACCATATGTGGTGCCAATGAAGGTCTGTCTGATACAGTGCTAATACATCTTTCCAAGGCCTCAAGACAGCTTGCAACATTTTTAGCAGCAATTTCTGCAGGGTTGACTAACTTCTGCAGATAGAAAATTACATTTTCGGAGAGGATAAGAAAAGATCAAGAAAGGAAACAGCCTACAATAGCCAAGAAGCTATTGAGTTAGCAGAATTTTAATGCCACAAAATTAATATGCTATGAGAAATAAATCAACTGGAAAAATACGTAATAAACAGGAAACATTGTTGTTGTCTTTTTCTGATATTGGAAAAATAAATACTTCACATCTGAAGCAATTTTATCTACATGTCAGCAGATATAGTATGGTAGTTTCTGTCAACACATGGATTTGCTCTGATGTGTTTCTTTGGCTGGTGTCATTGAAAACGTTGATAGCCGATTCTGCTTTCAGTGGGAGGAATTAGGAGCCTACTGTATGAAAGAAATGTCTATAACAAAGCTCACTGAAATGCCTAAAGAAAAGCTTAATGTAATCAGTCAGCCTGTTGACTTCAGCAGTCTTTGAATCAGTGTTTTAATATGAGGAACCACTATATAAAAAGATGAAGGCTAAGTTGACACGAAAATATTGAGATTTTTTCCCACAAAAAGCTGGGATTTTTTTCTTAGAAATTGAGATTAAAGAAGAAAAAAAGCTGTGAAAGTATTTGTGTAGTTTCTTTTGTGTAATTTTGTCTTATACTTATATTATGCTGTGCCTGTTTTGCAGATGGATAAACTTAAGCCTGCAATCAAAGAGAAAGGAAATACAATTTCAACTCTCCAACTTTGTTTATGTATTTATTTCTTTGGGGGTTTTGCCTGCTGTGTATTTTTAATAGCATTATTTAGCTGGAGTCATTTGTGTGGTCATTTCATCATGAGGTCTTTCTCCAGACCAAGCATCTTGTGATTTCTCAGAGCAAGGTCTGACGCACTGAATTCAAAAAGGAATCTTTTCAGCATATTGAATAGAAGCCTAATCATGAAAGATGCTGATCCTACTTCACTTCCACTGATTTCCTAAGGTGGTGTTGGCACTTGGCATCCTTTGGCCTTAAAAGGGATGCAGATGATATTGCTTGGCAGCATGCACAATGTTGAAGATGAAAAAAAATACATATATATTGTAGGAAGATCCTTTTTATAGCTCTAGGGCATCTTGAACAAAATTAGCATAAAGAAGATGAAGGTAGAAGCAAGAATTATTAAGGAAAAACATATTTTGTTTAAGCTTATTTAATATACTGGAAAGCTTGCAACATAAATATCGCCTTTTTTTTTTTTTGTTCTATCTGTTCTGATCATGAAGGAATCATCTAGGTGCTGCAGGTCACATCTGCATTCTCAAAGATGCTTTTGGCTGTGAAAGTCCAACTGAAATAGCAAATCTAATCTCTTCAGAGAAGTTTGATGCAGCCCTGGCCATTCATCTTTATAAAGGAGGCAGACTACTGCAAGGTAATCCTTTTTTAATTTTGCAATAAAAATACCTCTTAAAAAAGGTACTGAGAGAGAGGAGAATGAATACAAACAGTTATTAGTGGCAATAAATGCATAAACCCATAAATAGTCTAGTTATTCTGTTTATCCACTTCCACAAAAGTTAATAAACACTGAAAATCTTTCTCTGTGGGAGACATGATCCAGAGAAGAGAGAACTGAATACATGTACTTTTAAAGCACATAATGCATTTCATAATTAAGTACTTCAACTTCATTAAAATAAGAGTGTTATATTAAGATATTTTAAACAAATCTATTTTTTCAGAGGACAGTAGTTTGGCTAAGTATAGTTGAGGTCAAATAGAAGAAAGCAGAGAGGCTAATTTGATTTTTCTGTTCAGAAATGAATCAGTTTTTTTGGACATGAAATAGCATAAAATTGTCATTCATGCCAGCTAAACTGTGGGAGACAGGTTGTTATCAGACAAATAGTAAAATTTTCTATTGTAACTGGCCATGTAGAACAAAATTTTAGCCTGCCGTTAACGACACACTAGAAGCACTACCTTCCAAAATTATAGACACTGTCACCTACTGAAATTGCAAGTGTGTATCCATTTTTGAGATCATATTTGTATTGTCCAAATCGATGCACTTGGACAAAGGTACATAATTTGATAGTTTCATCAAATCTCAGTATCAGTTGTGTTGTGCTAGTTTTCAGACTTCAGAAGTCCCCCAGCAATTTGTGCCAGGATGTTTTCAGAAAGCTTGACATATTATTGCTAGTATGCTTGTGTACCTTTTATTACAATGGAGTTCTGATATCTGTAGGGATCCTGGAATACAAATATAAACATGACTAACATGACTAAATTATGCTAACACATATATGAAGACTTTTCTTGTTGAAATACTGAGATATTTGCTTTTGTGTGAAATCCTAGAATTGTTTTGGAAGAGGCTTATGAAAGGTGTTAAGTTTTAGCTCCTGTTTGCTAAGGAAAAAAAAATAAGATTGGATTTCCAAAAGTTTACTGTAAAACTTTACAGCACTCTCGACTTGCTTGGCATTATCTGAACTCTGTTGCTATAGGCTTTTCAAAATCCCAAGTGACCTCCAAACATTGATATTTGAATGATTTACAAAATCTTAGTAGTTTAAATAAATCAGACATACTAGTCCTAAAAGCATTTGCAATAACTAAAATAAAAATAGAAAGGAAATCTGTGGAAACCAACATGACAGTAATACAATTGTGGGAATGATCCTAGTGACAATTCTGTAAGTTATTGCAGACCTCTGGGAGACACTTCTGTTTCTTTTAACATTTATTTAGTGCATACCCTATATTAAGAAATACTCTGAAGAAATTTAGTTGATACAGTCATACTACCCTAAGTAAACTTTTTAGGCCTGACGCAGGAATCTGTGTTTGCATGATTGAGGATATAGGATCAATACATGTATTAGATGACAGAATTTACTTTTTTATTTATTAGAAAGACCTATATTATTTCAAGTATTACAGAAAGTCAGCTTCTTGTAGGATCAGTGCTGTGGTACTTTGATAGTATACTGTAATTCTGTTTACCTGCAAACATTAGAGTATCATAGCCATCGGAAATTGCCAAGCAAGGCCTTAAGTAGTCAGAACGGTAGTCACTTCTTTCATTCTTCTACTTTATTTCTTCATTTAGCAAATTAGCCATACTAAAAAATGTGAAACTGCTAAAAATCCCAAACCATAGAATTTTTATTTAAACATACGTCTTTATCTTACAGCTCACTTACATTCCATGTTTATTTGAAAATTATAGTATCAGTATATTTGGTTTCCCATTTCTATTATCCGTGCTACCTTATTTGTTTGTTTTAACCATGAATTTTGATTATGAGAATTCACTGAATTTAGAGGTGTTTTTTTTTCCGCAAGACACTGTTGATAACTATGAAAATTGTCACCAATATTTTAACAGGCATGAGTGTTCAAGGTCAGTTATATGCCTCTCGGAAGAAAGGGCCTCCATCAACACAGTATCCTCTAATGCCCAGCTCATGGGTCCAGTGCTCAGAGAATAGTGTGGTCTACTGAGTTATTTACCTCCTCCCCCTCCATCCAATGGCAAAAGGGAAAACAGCATATTTTCTGCCTTCCTTGATACACAATGTACAGTGGCAGCCAGCAGGAAATTGTAGCTTCATCTGTTACAGCTAACAGAAATCTGCAGAATCCACAAGATTGGTCACCTTGATCACAGGATTTTTTAGGCTCTGTTACTGGAAACTGTTTCTTTTACAAAATTGCAATCCTGCTTGTCTGGAATTTAAAACCATGTTCTATATGTAGTAATTAGCCACCATCCAGTTGTTATTTGTTAGCTTAATGAGGTGTAAAACTGACCGCTTAATTGTTTTCAATGCCTAAACAATCAACAGTAAACATTATTGTCTGCTATCTTGATTAGTTTAAGGGGGGGGGGGGAACATTTTTGGTAATTTGCCAGATACTAAAAATAACTTGACTCCAAGGAAACTAATACTCTTAGAAAGGAATCTTAAACTTCCTTTGGCTTTTATACTTTCATCTTGGTAGTCCTAGGTCTTGTTCACATAAATCTCACTGCTATTAGCGTAGAGATGTTACGCTACTCTGATTAGTGGTGTAGTTTAATGGCTTTACCCTTTTGCAACATGAATTTTTTCTGAAGCACCAACACTAGGCTTTTACTATTATGCTGATACCAGTAGGGTAACTATACTTTTATTGATATTTTAAAACTTGATTGTTGTGACAAGATGTTGTACACAGGCTTCCCCACAGGCAACATACTTTTCTTTACTCTTACTGTACCAGAGCACTGTAGGCAGCTTGCAGAACCTTCCTTAATTAGAGTGATCACAGAATAGGTCTTAGAGTAACCACTTGTAAACGCAGATCACTTTTGGGATGAAAGAGGGCAAATCAATGGTTTTACTGTGGGTTCACATATATTACCTTATTTAATCTCGGTGACATCTTCTGATGTTGTGTCTCCATCTGCATTTTTTTGTAGCAGTAAAATTGGCTTGAGAAGTTGGGGAGGAACCTTGCCAAAAATCAACAATATTTTTTAAAAAACATAATCATTTCAGTAACCCACTTTGCAGGATGGTCACCGAATCCATTGTATTAGAATGCTTGAGGGATAGTAAATGAGTGGCTGAGGCTAGATTCATGTGACCAAACTTTGAGGTATTGCATCTCATTACAATGTGAATACCATTTAAAATATATATGCTGTTTGATGGGTTGCTGAGTATAGAAACTGATTATGTTTTCACTAAGTGTGGACAAAGCCAAATAAAATCTCCTAGCTAGACAACAGGCTAACGTGCCATGGAAGTGTATCTATTGCATTTCTTTTCCAGTTCCAAAACCACAAAAATTCAAGTTGTTCCCCTTCTCATCTTTGTCATTGTTTTGCAGGTAGCAAAATTCCTTTTGGAATTGTCTTTGGTGGGACAGATATAAATGAAGACACCAGATGTGAAGAGAAACATCGGATAATGGGAGCAGTACTAGCAGAAGCCAGGTAAAAGCACCTGTAGAAGGATTATGACAGGAGATTGCATTTTTGTAAGGACAGACCTTTTGGAAACACTTCCATAAATGCTTGGAAGGACCAGGAGTTGTGTAGGCCGAGAGACAAAGGATAGACTTCTTGAAATCCCTACAAGCTCTGCTTTTTATGATTTTATGATTTAATGGTGGAAGCAGAGCAGTTTCTTCATAAAATATAATCTATATGCAGTCTATTCATTTTATGTGTCCTCTGTTGCAATAATTCCATAGCATTTGTCCATATAAGAGTTGGCAGAGGTAGCAATGAAGCTTGTTCTCTTGGGCTGAATTTTCAAAAACACTCAAATCCCATTAAAAGCTAATGAAATTTGTGCTCTTGCTAACTAATCCTGCGCTTTGTCTACTGAATCATAACTGTTTCCTTGAATAATAGAATTGTACATGTGATGAGGGTATAAAATTCTAAGGTAGGTAAAGGGAATGAGAAGAATAATAGCAAGCATATTTAACTTGTGATTTGACAGTATATTGCTCTGTAGAATAATCTACTTTATGGGTAGGCTTTAAAAGACAGCCTTTGGTAGTTTATATAACTGTGGACCATAGCAACTTGACTGTGATTTATTTAATGTGTTTGTAATGGATACAATTGTAGTATGCGAGCAAGTTATAATTTCTTACCAAAGCTATTTTAGTCTGATCATACTTGCAGAGATTAAAGTAAAGAAAAGCACATCTGAAAATCTCCAACCATATCCACACAGCTGTCATTTGTGAAAAACTGGCCGTGCAGAGGGCTTAGGTTTGGCTTTTAAATAGCGAACCTTTGTTAGTGGTGGAGGCACGATTATTCTTCTTAAATCTTACGGTATTAGTATTATTAGCCTAAACAAATTTGGACTGCTTTTGCATGACCCTGTGCAAACACATCAGAAACGCTAGATGTTGGTCCAGGTTGTTAGGATTTGTTAGTAAATAGTTTTAAAAATATTGTTTTATCTTACATATAGTCAAACATGTAAAATATTTTGTATTGGAAATACAAGCATATTTTACAGATTAAGTTCTATCTATACCTACAGACCAAGGTGCCCAGCTGTTTGACTTAGCTGAAATGACAACTGAAAATAACTGGCATTTGTACTGTTATGTCCTGGAGTCAAACCTGTTTTCAAAGGCCTTGCATGGCCATCTGGTATGTTGACAGCGTGCTTGATTGAAAAGCAGGTGACTCAAATTTGTTCTTTCTTCCTGCTTATGTGATCCTTTTTCTAGATATATAAACAAAGAAGCAGATACTGGAAAAAAAATCTTTTAAGTACCTCCTGCCAAGTTTTTAGGTGAATTGAGTAGTGAGTATTTTCATGATGTTTTAAAGTCCAGAAGAATTCCAGTGACATGTCAATGTAGCTGTCAAATACAGCTCAAGAGCTGATCAGAAGTTGCAGTAATGTATAAAAATGAAAAAGGTTTTAGCAGCATTATGGGTTATTTCAACATCCCCAGAAAAGAAGTTTCCTTCTGCTTGATCCAAAGATCTGTTGACTTCGGCAGTGTTTGACCATGTCCTTAGTGGACCAAAAAGCCCTTTTCAGGTTGGAAACTAGAGCATTTTGTAGATGCTTCAGTGAACAAAATTAATTTAACAGATAGCTTAAGTCTTATCAAGACGTAGGCTAAGGTTGTCATTTCATGTGCAGCCAGTCTAATAGCTCTCTGATGCAGGGACACTCCTACTGCTTCCCTTCCCCTCCTCTTCTCTCTTGCCTGTGGCCATGTGACCCACCCTTCCTTGTGCCAGCATTGGGCTGCTTTGTGAGTGGGATTAACTCACTAAAATGGTGTAAAACTGGCTTCTTTTCTTTCTGGCTTGTTTTTTTTTTTTTTTTTTACCACTTCAAGGTAAGTGGTAGATAAGCTTATGGAGGTATACAAAAAGGATTTCTTTCTAGTAGTTGTGAGATGTTTTATCAGGTCACTCAGTCTTACGGAAGCATACCCTCACCTTCTAATGACTTGAGTACTGTGAGGCTTCAGTGCAGAAGTGAGCTCTGTATAAGTAAAGGGATCCCTAAGTCTACAAGGTACATATGCATGTGATAAAATTTAAGCATCTTGAAAGTCTTACTGAATCCAATAATATTACTTGTAAACTTGCTCTAGCAGTGCTTAAATGCCTTGCTGAACAGAGCCTGCTAATGTCTCTATTCATCACAGCGTTTATGCACATGTTGAAGTCCCATTTGGTTAGTCACTAAGGAATTGCCATTAAACTTAGATTTATATAGCAGAATAGAGATATGATCATAGCGTAGATAGGTGCACAGGTATTAATCTAGCTAACACAGATAACTACAGGGGTTCAGATATGACAGTATGGATTTTGGCTCATGTTAGCAGTGAGGGTATGCACAGAGTCTGCGCAGGCTTATATCTGGTGGTTTTATCTTTGCTAACACCATTACATGCACTACCTAGAGCTAACTTGATGCTAATGTAGATATGCAGTTCTGTCTATAGTGCCGCATAAAATGTGGTAGGTAAACAGGTTTTGAAGTCAGCATTTAATCATGCTCATTGAAAAATCATTAAAGCATGTTTTTATGTGTGACTTGTCATTGAAAAACAACTTAGGGCCCCATTCAAGAAAAAAATTACATTCTTATTTGTGTTTGTTATCAAGTAATCAGTAGTTATTCTTTAAATAGCTCTGAAGGAAGAGAAGAAAGTTATCCAATATTTTAGTCAAAATGAGGATATTGAAGTTCTGTATTGGACAAAATAAAATTTTATAAAAACAGAGGGCTTTATTTCTCTTGGAGTGTGCCTGTTTTGATCCAGTTCTGTGTTTAAAATATAAGATCTTTCCCAAATATAGCTTATACAAAACCTATGCTTTAGTCGGTGATTTTTTTAATGATGATTAACTTAAGAGCTTGAAAGGTATTTTGTTAGTTTGGATTTCTTCTGATGTTTCAGAATGTATTACTGTGTGCTTTATGCAGTCCATAATATTTTCTCTGCTATAGGAAAACTAATGTAATTTTCTAGTAGTTATACTGAATGAATTCCTCCTGCAGTATTATCACTAGTATTATTCATTGCATAGTTATTAAAAGAAACATTGATTTTTTTTTTTCATTATTGATTGCAGGGTTCTAAGCAGAAAGTACCATGAATTGTAGATTATTTGTCCAGTACAATATACCACCAAATTCCATAAAACAAAGTATTGAACACTGTCTAGCTTTATAATGAGTGTTTCATTTTTAATCAAATTCTTCTAAATGGTAGTTGTACTTCTCTTGGGTATATTTTCTATTGAACCATATTTTGTAGACTTAGGAGCAACAGTTTTTTCTGCTTGTTAATGTGATGTATTGAAAGTATAATTGCAAAAGCTGGAAAAAGGGAGTATATGCAACTTGAGAAAACAAGCATTTGCAGAGGTTTTAATAACCTTAAAACTGTCAAGCTATATATGTGGAATGCCTTGTAATACTGTAAAGTACGTACTACAAGACAAATATATGGAAACCTAACAAAAGGAGGAGTTATAATTCAGCATTTATGTGACTTCTATGAATGATTGTGACTTCCTATCCTAAAATTATAATGTAACACCTCTGGGCGAAAGGGCTATTCTGGTTGTGACACAGTAATATGTTTCACCTCTAACCATGGATAGGTCACAGGCCTGGGTCATTATAGGAACCCCATTAAAGGCTAAGACAGAAGTTTTACATTAATTCTACGAAAAAGAAACATGAAATCACAAATGTAGTATGTGGTAGCCTATGCTTTATATTCAATCCCTATACAAAGGATTTAAGGATTTAAAGGACTGTTGTGCTTCTAGTTAACATTAAAGTTCCATTTAAGAGTAACAGTCAAAGCACATGTTTATATTTCATGATGACTTGAAAATTACATTAAAGTTCAGCATGTTCTTAAACTCTCCTCTGAACAGGGATTCTTTATCAGCTCTGACCCCATAAAAATATCTCGCATGACTTCTAGGTTTTAAACATATTATTCATGCTGGGAGCTTGATGTATCTAGTATGTTTAGAAATCAGACTTCCGTAGCTGAGGTCTCTCAATAACGAGGCACCCAAAAATGAGAACTATGTGTATCAACGTTGCTTTTAGATGGTCTCTGATGTAACTCTTGGTGACTGTGGAATGGTAGTGTCTTACATACTTTTTTCAAAGGCATGTACGTAGAAGTCAAGATGAGGCATTAGAATGTGGAAAAAAATGGAATACTTTTAGGAACCGGACTGAAACTCTCCTGTCCTCCATCCCAGCTGAATACCTAAACCCTTAAGCTATTGAGATATATCTTCATTTGCCTGATCTTCCTCTGGCATTACATTTCTTATGGATTACACAGGAGAAATATATGGTGTTCGTATCTCAGCTTGTTCTACAGTTCAGTTCTTTAAACTCCCTTCTCGTAACAAAGAGAAGTCTTAATTGGAGAGCGGTCAAAATAACCTTCTCCTTAGCAGCTGCCTCTCTATCAGTATTACTGTTTGCTAGTGTGAGGGTTCCTTTGCTCAGTATGACTGTGGTGAATCTCATTTCTAGGCATCCAGCTCTCACTACTTAGTGCAAAGGACTATCTGGTGCCTAACTCAGCGCTGTGAATTCCACTTCCGCTGCGGCCAGTAATGTCCAGAGCTGCAGAGCTGAGCGCCCCAAGTCTCTGAAATTCCAGAGGTGCAACCTAATCACTGGATCATCTTTTTTTTTCTTTTTAAATGTATTTAGTTCTGATTTTTTTTCTTAATTAGAAGATATTCCATGGAGAAGAACATGTTTGTTTCTCATTAACAGCTTTGACAACTTAGAAATAAGGAGAGAGTACTGTGGAGAAGGTTTAAAAAAATCCATCTTCTCACTTGCATTAAATTTAGTTGCAGTGAGTTGCAAATAGTGGGACTCGGCGTTGTCTATTAATAATATTATGAAACTAACTAGACTTCAACTGACAAGCCCCCATCTTGCCAGGCTTTCTGGCTGTGGAGAAGGCTATTGTGACTTGCAAGGATGTAGAAACAGGAAAAACTGACTCGCTACTGGAGCTCTGTGGATTAATGTAGATTTGCAGGGGATATTACCATCATTTTGGTTTTCTCTTACTGTAATAAATCCTCACTTTAACTCGACAAGAATTCTAAGCAGTGAATCCGGTTACACCCTGAAGAGATACCATTTGTTTTACTGATGTTTTCTGGTAAAACAAGTAGAACGCCTGCTTTCTGTCTTTTCGTCTATAATCGTTTTTATCAGCCTCTGCTTTTTGTTCTCATAAAGATTTTTTTTTCTGAAGTACTCCTCTGTTGTTGTGTTTAATCACTTTAAGCAGATGATCCCAACCGTTTTTGTCCATTTAACTAGGTTTGCAGTGGCTTTCACGACGAAAATGAAGGAACTGGCAGCAGCAGAGTGGGTATGTTTACGTGATGATGGTGATGATTATAGCATTAGCAACTAGGCATTTTCCTAAAATGTTTTCTAAATAATGCTAGAAAATTGTAATAATCTTTATAATCTGTATTTTTTTTCCCTTCAGAGAAAGCATTTCATATTTATGTACTTTGACAGGTCAAATAAGTCTGGCATTTAAAAGCTGTTTAGTATTTGCAAAGAGTGTAGAGCAGTTTAGGAAGTGCTACTTTGTACCATTTAAAACTAATCATTGCTGTTATTATTGTGTTTCTCTTGATGCCATATGCATATATTATTTCTTTTTGCATCATTTAATAAACCTCTTTATGTTGCAAAATTTTCACTAAACAGCTTTACTTACAATTGAAAGAACAATTTGAGAATGCTGATTTTTGTCTGCACTGAAAATAGAATGAACTCCTTCAGGTGAACTGCAGAGCTAAAATGGAAGTTGCACTAAGCCCAGCAATATGTAGTGTACTGTACTGGTGACTAGGCCTTGAGGGGTGTATATATAGCACAAAATAGCACTTGATAACTTTTTAAAAACTCATATCTGCTTCTGAAAACAAAGTGAAGCACACTTCTTTTTTTCTGTGTTGAGTGATATACCTGTCAATACAATTATTTTCATCCAACAATATCATGGTAAAATGTATTTGGCAGTGGATTTGAAGGGAATTATTTAGCCGGCAAAGAACTGACAGTAATAATGCAAAATAAAATCCCCAGAATATACCGGTTAACTCCCAGTTTTCTGGTTACACTGAATGTTCTTTATCCTTTAGTAGCTAATGCATTATCCACCTGACATATATTTTCTTACACTGAGTTTAGTTTACATGTAGGTTTTGTATTCATGCAGAGAAACATATGTACATACAGAAGAAAATGCGAGAGACCCTTCAAATGCAGATTCTTGATAACCTCATTAATTAGTCAAAATATATTTGAGTTGTCATGCTGTTATTGGAATTATTATTTTATTAACTATTAGTTTAACAAAATTCTCCGTATCTGTACATGTGAAATCTACTTTATATTAATTTTTATGAATCCTGGATTGGTAGTAAGCTGCCTGTCTACGACTCATCTGTTTTCATATAGGCTCGTTGATAGCAGTTATATTTTACAAAGACCCAGAAGTTCACTGGGAGATTGGATCTTAAATGTGGTAAATCCAAATCTTTCACTGATGATGATCATTGATGTCTTTGCCATTGAGTTCAGTGAGATTGAGATCAAGCTCTTAGGGTTAACTTTCTAGTCTCTCAGCAAATATTAATTGCAGTTCTCTGCAGCTAGATAGTTTAATTCATTCCATAGACTGTTCAAATAATGTCTAAGTGTCGTACAAGATGAGTACAGTGGCCTCATGCATTTCTTTGTGAGGTGAACTTGTTTGCTTGGATAATGTGCTGCATATGCAGTTAAAGTGTGAGCTAAGGCAGCCTCTGAGACGAAAAACGAAGAAAACTTATCCATTACTTGACTAAATTGGCTAGTGTTGATGAGATTCTTGATTTCTTTTTTATTTTTTTGAAAAAAATATAAGACCAAAAGAATAGGTATGTAAGTTGTAAGGAGAAAAAAGGAGTAAATAATGAGGCATATACAAATTTTAGGATGAGAGTAAAATTAATGTTGTAATTTTGTTTATTTATTTTTATTTTAAAAATAGCCTAAAAACCAATGAGATAATTAGATAATTTCAAATGTGTTATACCTTAAATTTTTATTCTTTGAAAGTAAGTCCTGATATAGTAACTGGTACCTAAAGGTTAAATGTATAAAAATAGGAGAGGTATGTAGTAAATATGTCTCTTATTCTTTTAGTTTATTTTTGTACATTCACCCTTTGCCCAGAAACCCTGACCTTTGTTTTAGAACATGTTCCCTTCCTCTTTCCTGAGTAGGTACCATTGTATCTGCTGTATTGCAAATCTGCTTCAGACATTCATTGCAGTTATTTGTGGTCTCTGATGCTGGCTCCTGTCTGAAAGTAGGCTAGGTCAACACTTCCACTCGTATGTGGCTGTACTGAGGGCAGGCTGCCAATGGGTACAAGTGAACAAGTCCTTGAAGCAGACAGTGCTCAGACCTGGTTTCGACACAGATGCTTTAGCACAGAGGAAGGCGTAAAGAGCTGGCAGTCACCTGGGCACAAGGCATGCTCTTGGGCAGCGTCAGTTGGCACTGGTGAGCCTATGAAAGACTGTACCAGGAAGTAGGGCTTCCTAATCCAGCTTTCTAGCCCAGCTGAGCTTTTTTGTGTGTGCAAGATTAGTTTTCCAACTAACTTGTTGGCTAAAGAGTTGTACTGCCTCACAGAGAGCTGCAATGAGCATCAAGTCAAGGGAAGGGTAAGCAGTAATCAGCATTTGAGTGGCAGTAAGGTGCAACAACACTAGGATGGAAAGACCAGGGCAGGACCGCTCCCTTCCAGCAGCAGCGAGCTGTTAGCTCCACTCACCTCCTCTTGTGAAATACTGGCCGAAGATGAACAATGAATGCAAGAAGTAGAAACTAACTGCTTGGTATCTCTTCCGTTTCAGTCTGCATCATAATAGCATCATCAATACACCCTTTTCCAAAGAAAAATCACTTAGAAGTGGAATCTTCACAACAGAACAATTTAGTATTTTATGCTAATACTATCAGCATCAATTTTTTTTTTTAATATATTGGCATTAAAAGGACACGTGAGGAGCCATATTTACATTACAAGTGTATCATACTTTTTTTTAGTAATTGCTAATAAACTTCATGGCAGGTAACTGTGAATTTTTCTGCCATAGAAGTTATACAAGAAGAGGAGGATATGGAGGAAAAGCAAACTTGGACTTTGAAATCCTTTTGAATTTAACACCTCAAATGTTTTTAAGTACTTTAGTTTTACCTAAACACATTTGTGATCCAGACCTGTAAGACTCATTCAGTGTTTTGGTGAAAGTCCATGGCAGACTAGGGAATCAAAGGCAAGTCTGTCAAGTCCTAAGCTGAAAAATCACCTCCTGACCCGTGTCTTCAATGTCAGGGGGTTGAGTTGTTGTTTTGTTTTGATTTGGTTTTTTTCCCAGCTGTATTTTCATAGCAAGGGCAAAAGCAAAGGCCACGCATTTACTTTCAACCACTGAACAACATAAATACCGTAGTTCCATACCAACAGTTCCATACCATGGTTCACACAATAGTAATAGTTTTTACATATTAACTGACATAATATGAACTGCATTGTTCCTCTGATGTGTGCTTTATTAGTTAGGCAGTCCATTAAGAATTTAAATTACTAACATGTAAGCAATTGCACTAAGCTCAAGCGCTGTATCTGCAATTCTTTTTGATTGCATTTGATAAATTATCTTTAATTATGCAATACATAATATGGCATTTATAATAATCTGTATTCCAAGTGAGTTGGAAATACTGTAAAGATCTTGTGCTTATATGTTTTATTTCAATAGCGTAATAGCAGTGCATAAGAAAGAATTACCTGTGGCTAGTTTTATTAGCATTCAATTTCATTTTTCCATTTTCCTCACTACCCTTTAAAATAAAGAATATAACAGAAATTTGATCTATAGAACGTGCATACATCTGTACGCCCCGTTACACAGCGTTCCTGCTCTTTTCTTCTTGATGATTTGAGCTCCGTCAGGAATATATTTACTCACTGTGAAGCCATTAAGGGTCGGTCAGAGCATGAAACCAGCTGCTTAACTTTAAGCTTATGTCTGAATCTTTGTAGAGTTGAGGAACTAAGTACATACTTTCCCCTACGGAAGTTTGAAGCAGAATTATGCAGCATGTTGGCTGTGGGGGCAAGGCTGGTTTAAGCTGCCCTCTACCCCATCTGCTTTTTTTCCATCACTTCTTTTGCTGCATCTACATCCAAGCTCTAAATTTCAGCCATCGCAGGCATCCTGCAAATTCTGCAGTTGACCTCCAACTTGTGATGCTCTCGCCATCATTTTTTGAGGCTTTTTTTGGATGAGAAGATCCGATATAAATTAACATGTTACGTATCCATAGGTAAGAGAAGGGCCAAGAAGTGTTAAGCAACTTGTGTGTTGAAGCATATCTGGTATTATTTTAAATGCTTTGAATAGAAAAGTTCATATGGCTTTTGAAAGATGTCGTCCATTCATACACTTATTCAAACACTGTAGCATAGACAGTGTATGTTCTTTCCCATCTTCTTTATTTATGTATTTGCTACTTGTTTCTGTGATTTTTGTGAATTTTGTGAGCTGGTTTTAGCCACTCTCAGAAGCCACCTCCCTCCCATCTGTGTACTGCATGTTGTTGATGGCTATTCGCTTCCTTTTACCTCTTTTCTGTTATTTTCTTATTCCAGTTTAATGGAATATTATGACAGAGCAATGGACTAGAGAGGCAGTCACATAGAAATGATTGTAGAAAAACGAGGCATTTGCAGGCAAAACAAAATACTTCCTTGGCTTCTTATTCCCTGAGCTGACTGATTCAGGAATTAGTTGCTTCAATAGTTTGTTTCTGCATTAAATCTTTCTTCTCGCAGTGCAAGCTTTCTTTCTGCCTTGAAGTCATTAGCCTGCAGTTGTGATTTCACAAACTGCAGCCTACTACAAAGGATAGGGTGTGGAGGAGAGAGGAAGGGAAGACTAATGTGCAGCTTGACACAATCTGCTGGCATATGAGATGTTCTGCCTTGTTTAACTCTGGCTGTGCTATTCCAACAATTCTGCACATTAAGCGGCATCTCTGCATGACAATATTTAGCTTGGAGAGCTCATCAGTGTTTCATCTGCATGCCAGCAGTGTATCCCACCATTCGTAATGGAGTGGTTGGAAGGGCAGCACGGTAGTCCTTTTTCCATCTGCGCTTTTGAGGAAGCCATGGCAGCTCAAAGGCTGCAACTCACAGTGTTGCAGCCTGCAAAGGGACCATGCCCCTCTGCATAATGAAGTTAACACTGGACAGGACACAGGATCTACCCCCAAGATGGCAAAGACTGATGCTATAATGAATGTTGTTCATTTCTGGACGCCATGACGCTACATTAAGCAGTAGAGCTAGTAGAACTGATGATTGAAAGAATGTAATTTCATACTGAAACATTCAAGGTTATATTGAGCAAAACTGTTGGAGACTATATACCAGTGGAGTAATGCCTGAGCTTCTTCCATTACAGGCATTGCAACTAGTGCTTTTAAAACACCTAGGAATTGTCTGAACACAAAGCTTCGCATAAATATTTTCAGCTCAGAGAGAGACTATGCTTGTTTGCAAGATTTGGAGTCTTGGTTGTTGTTGATTTGTTTGGTTGGTTGGTTGTTTTTTTCAAATGCAGAAAGACACCAAGGGTATTTCTGTGTTTTCGTAGAAGAACACTTACTATGCCACAAATTCACAGTTGGCATTAAAGTTATTGAAACAAGAACTTGCTTATTTAATCACGTAAATTAAATAATGAGCATAGTAGCACGTCAGGAGTAACTTTGGAAGTGTAGTAATTACCTCTTCTATTCTAGCTATTTAAAAATAATTAAATGTTTTATTGTGCAATTTTATTTGGGACTATTCTGCAATAACTACTACTCACCAGTTTTCCTGCATAGACAAGTCTACATATATTTGACAGCAATCTTTGAAAAGGTTAGAGGTAAGTGGGGTTTGTTGCATGCCTGATGTGTCTAAAAATCCTGTTACATACAAATGTTTCACTGTGGTTTTGAAACCAATTATGACTTTTCTGTCAAAACTAGTATTTTGAAAACTAAGGCTGCCCTGTAAATCTTCCTGTAAATCTGTCCTGGAAAATCTTTTTTTTTTCCTATGGAAATATTTTCTTTTTTCCATGCAATGAGCAGGTCAATGATTATGAGAAATGATATGGATATAAACTAAAAAATAAATTTCTACTAAACTGGTAATAGAGTTATTTACAAAATTGATTCATTGATATTATAAATATTCATAGTAAATGTAGTTTAAATTACTGACTTTATTGGCTTTTGATCTCAATAAAATGTTCCTTAATGGCCTATTTTGTTCTTAGTAGCCAAAAGGAAATCATGCTGATAAGCATTTTACTCTACTAGATTAAAAAAAAAAAAAAACTGGAAAACTGAATAGGTATTTTATGATGAGCTGTGAAAGTTACTTTTCTTCTCTTTCTCTTTAAAGCCACATGCTAGGAAGAAAATATATGTCCAAACTCAAGGTGAGAGTTTTGAAATAGTGACTAAGGCATTCAATTGATTTGAATCCTGTTATTTAGTACCCGTATGTTTATATATGTGTCGTCTACCCAGGAAATATTTTGCTTGGATAGGTATCAAGTTTGAAGTCCTGGCTCCACTGAAGTTGTTGAGTGTTTTTCCATTGAGTTTAATTGGGATGGTATTTCACTCTGTTAGCCTAAATTTTCAACTCATTTGGTGCTTTAAAAATTGTTTCCCAGGTACCTTACATTAGGATTCTAAAAGCCAAGATAACTCCAAGCTTTCTCCAAAGCATACAGAAGTCAATGGGCTTTGGATTAGACGCTCAATATGATTTCGTACAAGGTGTTGAATGATTGTTCTCTGAAGCTCCAAATTCCTTTATATGCTGCTTCCTTTATGTTCTGCTGTCACAGAAAAATGGCATCAAACAAGTATCTAATCTGAGGTACATTACTTAAGTGAGGAGTCCAGGGAACATTCAACTCAGCATTTAAAATGTGACTACTTCAGCTTCTTCTCCCAGTTTTATATACTTAAATTAACTGTCTAGAGGCTTCAAAACTCATTGTATATTAGATACTTCATTTTAACTTTCAAAGAAAACAAAATTATTTTGGAAATATTCCTTATGAGCGGTATTTAACCCATGTTTAAGCCCCTTGTATTTTAAGCCCTTTGTGAGGTTGTAGTTTACTAAGAGATTAAGTAAATATTAAATTAATCATTTAATTACTAAAATAATTAATTCTTCGTGTAACGCAAAACAAATAAAATAGCGCTCAGTTTAAATTAATATTTACTTTTTATATTAATTTATTTTACTTATTGTGCCATATAGTAAGGATTTGGGTCTGAGCTGACCTATATCTATTTGGAATAATTGCAATAAACCATATCTATTGGAATAATATCTGTTGGAATAATTGAAATAAACCAAATTCTGTACCTGTGTCCGTTTTGGGATGATAAGCTGCCTCACGTAATATTATCTCATGTATAGATTTTAAGAGGCCAAATTCAGCATGGTATAAGGGAGCATAATTCCCTGGGTTGCTGAAGAAGTTCATACACTACGTGATTGTGCAAAACTTTAAATTCATCTTCAACCTGAATACCGCAGAAATGTTGTCCAGGCTACTTAACTTGGATGGGAAGCTTGGTATGGGAGCTGCTATATCTGGAATTCGGTGCACTTGACAGAAACTATTTTTTCTCAGGACAAGATTTCAAAAATCGTAGTTCAGCCATCCAGTGACCAGTAAAACATATTTTTTTTTTTTTTTTGTTATGAACACAGGAATTAAGACTACACCCAGTGAAACTTTTGACTGGAATAGATTTCTACAAAACGCAGGTAAAACTCGCTTTTTTGCTTTATTCACTGTATTTATGCTTAATAGATGTCATTCTGGAAAGCATTTAGAGTATGTGCGTTAATTGGTTATATAATAAAATGAAAAATGTAAAACTCATTAGAGTCAATTGAATATCAGGTGCTACTCAGAATTCTGCTCTGGAATATTATTTAGTAAACTACCAATGCGATTTCCAGGTTGCAGGTCTCTGCCGTAATGAATTGCAGCTGTGTACAGTACTGTGTGAATTGCACGAAAAGATAAAATGGTCATGATATATGATATCTAGGGTCAATATCCCCTAGAAGGAAAGTTAGACCAAAGCACCAATACCTGACCATACTGTTCTTTACAGCTGTGTGATAGAAACTATGTATGTCTTTTGCAAAAGAGCACGAGTTGAAAAATGGCAATATGTATTGATGTTTTATTATTTGGTCTTATCTAGTGTCTTTTTCTGTTTTCACTAGTGTAATGGCATGTAAAGCAGGTGGACTAATTTAAAGTCTCCTCATCTTGGCAATAACTTAATTGCTACAGCCACCGTGCCCCACAAGAAGAATTTGTAGGCATGTTACTGTGGGGAAAAATTTATTTCAGTATTATATTCATCAGTCTGATCTCTGATGGTACAGCAGTTTCCTCTGTTACAAATGAACCCATGCTATTCAATTGCTTTATCACATCAGTAAATGTGTGCCATTATTCAAAACCAGTGTCCAATTTTAAATAGAGCATTGTGAGGTTATTTCGTTCTCAGTAAATCATAGCACACAAGCACAGCGCCACTAAGATGAATAATTTTCTGAAGTGAAATGATGTGTCACTTGCTAGCATAGCCCTAGTGTTGATTGGATCTCATGTCCGACGTTTTTATGATTAAACAAACAGTCAACAGATTGAGGAGAGCGAAGCTCCCCCTAAAGTGCATTTTATCTGCTATATTAGAGACAGTTTTTTACCTAATGTGTACTAATGCAGAAGTGCAAAATAATTCAAAATGTACATGAAAAGCAAACTGCAATGTGACTCCAACATCTGTGTCTGTTAAATCATAACTTGAAAACTGGCATCAAATTATTCAGTACTGGTTTTTATGACTGTTTCATCTCATTTATTTTATCAGTCTTGCCTCTATTGCATGTGGAGGCAGGTTTTTGGCTCTACCTTTTGCTTACCAGAGACCTAATTAGAAGTTCCCATTGAATTACTTTTCCTGGGATTTGCGGTTTCAAAGTGCTTAAAATGTTTAAAATTCTTCTAAACTTGGAGCAGTCAGTAGAAAACTGTTAAAAATTGAAGACAATTTTCTTCAGAAGAATACAATTTGGGTAGTGTGGGCTTACACAGTGAAATGCACTTAAGAAGACCCTTAGCTTTTATGCAGATAAAGCTGTCCAGTGTGGTTCACCTCATGACATTTACCTTTTTTTTTTTAAACTTCTGTCATGAGTTTCTGTTCCATATCTAAAGGTAATTAATGATTTTTGTGGGAAATATTTTTCCAGATAACTCTTGCTGTATCTTTAGCAGTGTCCTTGAACTTGTCAAATTCAGGATTTCCAGAACTGGCTGGAAAGAAACAGTAATGCAAATTGCAGAGTATGTGAGCTCTCAGTTTTAAGCATCCTTGATAATCAGGCCGTACATGGGCAAGTTATTCTTTAAAATGAAATATACCCTTCAGAAAATTTCAAGATTCTTTTACAGAATAGAGTTCATATGAATATTTTTGTACTAATTTCTTAGTCATAGAAAAGCCTTAACATTTGAGTCATATTAAATATCACACCACTATATGAATAGTCTCTGTAAGCCCATAGAATGGCCTCAAATAATTTAATGTTAGATTCAGTGTTAAGTGAGAGTGGGAGAATATGGCAAATATTTTTTACTGTCAGATACCCCTCCCGCCTTCATGCTCCCGAGTGTGGATGGTGCTAAAATAAAAGCTAAGGAAACTCAGTCTTTTTTAGATTTCGTTTGATAGTTTGGGTAGGTTAGATAAATGGTAATTGCCTAATACAAACTGAAGCAGTGCTGTGAAAAGATTTTTATTGTCATTATTATGGGTGCAATACAATCTCAGCACAAAAATCATGGAATTAGTATTTTCTTCATAGACGAAGCAGCAGACTTAAGAGTTGCAGTGGTGATGTTTGTTTAGAGTTACTGTTCTTAGCTCCTAGCTGCAGTATTTTCAGTGGCTGGCTGTTAAAACATTTATTGGCTAAACCTGCAAAGAGGAGAGCTTTTAAGTTAATTTGCATTGTAGTTGTAGTTAGCTTCGGTGTTTGTCTTGTAAGGATAAGAGAGGGACTGTAAACAACAGTAGCCAAGCTGGAAAGCTGAACCAAGCCCAAATTTCAACATAGACTTCAACAAGACAACTTTTTCAGTTTGTTTAGTAACTCAGACAATTTAGGAAAGTACTGCAGCCTATCAGTCTGGAGGCCAGACCAGCTGATCAAAATAGTCTTCTCTGATTTTGTCATGTAGGAATCTATTTACAGCATAATCAGTTTTGTTAGCAGTTTAAGATGTCTGTCTGTGGACTTCAGAGAGACAATGAAAGTTCAGGCTTCTGTGGAGAATTGAATGACAGAAAGTAACAAGACTTTCTAAGTAGGTGCGAAAACTCAGACTGACCTTCTCTAACAGCTTAGCTCAAGGATAGAATGTAACTACTTAAGAACACAGAGATGGGCTTGATGTCCTCATACCTTGATGAAAGCCTCCTTTTGATTTCAGTGGAATGTGCCTGAAGTGCATAAGATGAAAACCCCAATAAACACTTGGACATCCTGTGATTAGAAGGGGTAGATAACTAATAACCTATGCTAATGAACTGAGGAAGCTCATCTACCCAACAGACAAGACTGAAAACTGGTTTCCTGGAAGGCGACATGGAACCATAGGATAAGATGCTTAGTGTACTATCAAATAAAATGTGGGATATGCTTTTGGCATTTGATTTTTCTACTCTCAGATAATTTCTGCTTCAGAGCAAGGCTAATTTCTGAGCTTGAAAAGTTTACATGGCCTGTCATGGCACAGACAGGATTTTACAGAGGCATTATATTTTCCTAAAGCTATTCAGGCAAAAAGGATATACATAAGGAAAATTAAGTAGTAAAAGTTCGTGCAGATATACCGCTGGCTGTAGAAATAATGATATGGCAGTAGTAGTAAACTGTGTTCCTGAGCAGATCTGAAAGCACAGATTTTCTTCCATTATCTGGTCTGCTGGAAATAAGGAGATAACAGCAAAAAAAGGAATGCTGGAGAATCTTGGGTTCTAATTTTTCTGGATGAGTCACCTGCCCCAGGAAGTTACCGGGTTCTTTCAACTTTTGTGGCCTTCACAAACATGTCAGCAAACTCCAGCAAATATTCAGTATGCTGTTGACTATGTCTGGATACTTTGGATATAGGGATTTCTGCCACTTCCCCTTAATTTATGAGAAACAGATTTCTTTGTAGAATAAAAGCTTGACTTCATAAAACACATTAAAAATGTTTAAGATCTGAAGGTGGTGGTTAATTATGTTGCTGAAATGAGACCTAATTCGGCTAATATTTGACTAATTTCAGTGACTTCAGTTATGGAAATTTCAGAATCAATATAAAGTAAGACAGAATGTTGAAGCTGGACATCAGTATGACACTGTCATATCAAACAGGTTGGAAAACTTGGCTTATCTGAGCAACCTGTTTTGAAGAGTTGGCTTGAACAAGAGACATGGAGTTAATGTTTAAATATCTTAAACAGAAATCAGACTCTTGATGCTAAGAGACTAAGAGAGTTTATGTGTGATACTTCCGCTGTGTTAACAAAGAGATGAATATAAAGAATAAAGCTGAATTCAAGACTTTGAGTATCAGAAGAATATGCCAGAGTTGGAAAAATTTATCCATGATTCAAACTCAAGAAAATAAAATAACTATCTTAGAGGCTGAAATCTCAGCAAGAAACCTATACATTTCTTTTTCTAGGAGATCAGTTAATACTTTCAAATGTGTTGGAGACAGATAAATGAACACTTTTCAAGAGGAATAAAAGACCTGCTGTGGTTCAAAGTGAATAGAAGGGAAAATGAGAAAGGTAATTCACCCTCACAGTCTCACCATAGCTTAGACTTCATTGCTGAACAAAAGGGAATTTGGATGAGCAAGCCCGTGTGGACTTGGTATTGTCATCTAAAGGTCCTTAGAACACAGCTGTGAACTTGAAGTCAGGGTTTGGAAAATTAATCCTAAAAACTTCTATTATCTTGGACCCAGTATTGATAAGAACTATTTTGACTGTAGACAGTGTTTGTTTATCTTACTGGAAAATCTTTGCATCCTGCATTATAACCTACAAGTACAATATTGATATAATTGATAAACATATTTAACCCCTAGTACAAATTGGATTTTAAGCTGTATATGAATGAACACATTTTAAGAACTTTCATTTTTATGGGGTTGTTGAGCCAGGTCCAAAATAATAACTTTGAATGAAAAATCATTGTTTTGGTTTTTTTTTTTGTTTTTTTCTGCTCCCTAGAGATTTTGAAAACATCCTAAAAAAGCACAGCAAAGAGTTTAAATAAGAAAAATATTTTTATTTTCTTGAACAACTTTGAACAACGGGTGAGAAAATAGGTCACACAAGATATTCTCAAACTGCTACCTTACCTCTCAGCAAGCTAATGCTTGATACTACTCATTCACTTAGAGGCCTGCAGCTTTTTAGTAAGATTAAAGATTTGCAGTAAACTTTTTTTTTTTAACTGTACATCCACAATTACTAAGCTTTTTTCCTGATTGTAGCTAGAGGGATGGAGTTAAATGAGTCTGCTCTTTCAAAATCGGTTTGGATGGTATTTTTACTTATTTTTCCCTTTTTGACAAAAACATTATCTTTACTAATGCTTCAGAAGTTCTGGTTTCCATGTTGTCTGTTTGTTTTCATGTTATGCTATCCTGGCATCTAAGTACAGATTTTTTTTTA